GATAAAAAGATAAGCAGCCGAAGTCTTTGCAGATAAGCAGGACAAAAAAAGAAGCATTTAAAGGTTTAGAGGAGCTTTATTTTTCCAGGTATTTATGTGTGAAAGAGTGCTCTCTTTTAAAAAGGGGAGCACGCTTCTCTGTAACTTATTTCCTTAATATAAACTTGGAGATCTTTGGGGGCACAGACATTAGATTTAGCTGTCACTGCACTTCACCATTTGCGGAAGCCTCAGGAAGATGAACACGACCACATTTCCTTTTTCTCGTGGCACAGCCTTATTGTGAAATTGCTCACAGCTGACTGGGATACAGCGAGTGCAGCTGCTTTTGCTGATGTGTCTTTTGTTGAACAGTGGGTAGGTGTAACTTGTGGGAAATGGGAAGATGGCTAACACACCTGCCAGAGGATTTTAATGCAGACCAGCACCAGCAGCTTTCAATGCGTTATTTGAAAGCTGTTTCACGGGGTGTTTTGAGCATCTTCCAGTTTCTTTATTGGATTTAGAAACGCAAGGTGTCATACTCAGGGTTAGACTTTAACCTAAACCTCTACTGTGACTCTGATCCAAATGGCATATGCAGGCCCTAAAAATACTTATATTTTTACAGTTGACATTGATTTGTCTGTACAAATACTGAAACAGTTATCAGTTATCAGAGCCTGAACGTATCCCTTCCAGTGGACTTCATTTTAAGCCTCTTGTCTGATGGTCTCCCTGTACTTTGTCTTTGTACTGAGCCAGTGTCTGTCTTCTACATCTGATGTCAGCCTTATGTTTGCGACCCCCCTGCTGACAATCTAATGGACAAGACATTGTCTCTTTCTGTCCAAGCTGATGGGCTGTGTGGTCAGCTAAACCAGCAGGTTGGTGAAATAAAGATAATGGCCATTATCTCCTCTCTACTTGCCTGTAATTGCCAGATGTCTGATGACCCCTCCCAACAGGTGTACTCGGCTTCCCCTCCCCTGCTGCTCCTGGCGGAGGAGAGGAGGATGAGCATGTGCTTGTGGATTGTTGCATCAGCAAGTGGCATCAAATCAAGCAGCTCTTTGTGTTCGTTTCATTTTCTGCAAAAGATAATTTGAAATCGACTCTTCTGGAGTTCAAAGTTTTATTCATATGCAGACTGTGAGCTGTTTTTGATGCCACGCTATACTGAAAAACAGTAAGGAGAATCCCATCACCCTGCTGTGAGGAATAAAAGTGTGTGTGTGTATGGGTATATTTGAGTGTGTGTGTGTGCTCCACATAACAGAAAATGAATCACTCAAATAGGAGGAGCTTAATTTAAGTGTTTCAAAGCTAATTCTCCTTTTGTTCTTTAGAGGGATGCAACTGAAACAGTATCAATTGCTGTTGCTAGGAGACACCAGTCGTGGTCCACAGATAGGCAGCAGGCAAAGTAAGTGATGAAGTGCTGGCACTGACTTCAGACCAGTATCACCAGTAGTGTGAAGAGGCAAAAGAGACAGAAACCTTTGATCATGGATGAAGAAAAAGCATATGTGGAACAAGGCGACGGAAAATATGCAGAGATGCAAAATAATAAAAAATATTAGAAAATCGTGTGGTGGACCTGAGAGCTCAGTGGGTAATGCCAGTGAGTTTGGATTGGGAGGCAGGGACTTGAATGCCACCCATGGATGGCTATTTTATCTGGGCAGAGGGAGAGCTTATTTTCTTTATCATATAACTGGCCTGGTTCTGTATTACAAGTTTGAAGCAAGACAAAGTGACACATGTGATGTAAGATAAGAGGACGGTGGAGCAGTTGGGCTCAACACAAGCCGCTGGATAGGTCAGTGGGTATAATGCCTTTTCCTAGTCATGACTAATTATGCTGTTGGTAAACAAGATCGGCAGAACAAGAGCTTGCTTTGTTATCATGAATGGATGTGAAATATTATTCGTTGTAATCATTAGTAGAACATTTCACTTTTATGAATGACCTCGTTCTGTATCACAAGTTTTGATACATGATACATGTAATGTAAAATAATCACATGGCGGAGCTGAGGGAAAAATGCATTGATTGCTAAGTGTGAAATGGCTCTGACCTTGGATAGGGAGACAGAGGGTTCAAATCCCTCACAGGGGTACCATGTTGCAAGGGGAAGAAGAAGAAGAAGAAGAAGAAGAAGAAGAAGAAGAAGAAGAAGAAGCTTTATTTGTTGCAGCTGCCTGGCCCCAGTCTTCCGGAGAAAGCTGGAGACAGTGTGGTCTTTGGCTCAGCCATGCATGTGGCCTTGGCCCAGCTGCAGTCTCCCCCAGAGAGAACCAGAGACAATGTGGCCTTGATCCAAATTCAATGACCAATTTTGACCCTATATCTTGCCTGGGTCCTCTCAAAAAGGTGGTCCTCTCAGAAGAAGAAGACATTTTAATTGTTGCAGTTGATAGTGTGGCCTTGGGCTCAGCCATGCCCGTGTCCTTGGCCCAGCCCCAGTCTCCCACAGAGAGACCCAGAGACAGTGTGGCCTTGATCTGTGCCTGGGTCTGTGCAAAAAGATGGTCCTCTCAGAAGAAGAAGAAGAAACACAGAAAAACAATAGTGCCTTTGAGTTTGGAGCCCTGTTGTACTAATGAGGAGAATAAGCAGATTCAAATTCCTCGGCGGCTGTTTAATGTGGCTTTGTGCTTCACATAAATAGTGCTCTACCTTTGGAATTTGAACTTCAGCAACCCAGACAAGCATCTCCTCCCTTGATGCACCACCTCCCAATAAATCCTTCACATCTGGCAATCAAACAAGCATGAATTATTCAACAAGTCACACATAATCATTTAATGAGTTTCTCCCCTATCTTTTTGCTCCAATATACTTGGATGAAGATAACTTCCTCTATATGAGGAATAACGTGGCCAGTTTGTCTTTGAACATAAGTGCATCACTTATCAGAGAGGGGACAACTTGATTATGCAGTTGTTGCTGCGATGCGGTTTTTCCAGGTTTTTATTATCATCGTTATGATTTAAAGAAAAACAAACAGATTAATGGATTTATGAGATTAGCAGGATCTCTACATTCAACACAGTTTGTTAAAGGTCATAGTTACAACTTTTTCATAAAAACGATTCATTTTTCAAAAATAATACATCCACAGAGGGGTGCAGGATAAAATTATTAATTTTACTGAAAAAAAAAAAAAGTATAGAAATAATTGTTTGATAAATTTTTACGGGTCCAAAATATATAAATATCTGGTTACGTTGGCAACGTTTGCGCCAACAGCATTAGTACGTTGATGTCACGTGAGGCGGAGCTCAGGGGGTGCCAGATCGTGATTGCTCTGTGGGTGCGACACCTACTGGTTGGGATGAAATAAACTTGTAGCTAACCCCTTTGGAAAAAAAAAAAAAAAAAAAAAAAAAGAAGCCGCGGCGTGAGTCTAAACATCGGCCGACCAGCTGAGTGTGGGCTTTTTCTTCACCGTGGCCTCGTCTCATTTGTCACACTGCTGACTGGTGCAGATTGTGGGAGAAAAACAAAAAGAAACACCCCTGTCTGTGATGCTCTATATATCATAACCAAACAAAAACATGACAAGATTTTCTTCAGGAGTGATGTAGCTGTTGGTCTAATGCAAGAAAAAAAAAAAAAAAAAAAGGAAAAACTAAACAAAGATGAGTCGAGACTCAGAGGAACTTGCTGGTTTCAGTAAATATCTTTCTGTTACATGGATTAATTGGATTCATAAAAAGAGATTCAGAGCAGGGTCCAGCTGGATAATGCCAGCAACGACACTGGCATTAAAAAGAATATAATACACATAATAAATCTGATAAAGTTCAGAGGGACGATTTCTCTGTCAGCTGCTATGGTTTGAAGTTGCTCCCCTCCCAGTGTTTGTTCTGCACATGGGAACACAGCAGAGGATTAAAGAGTCGAAAACCTGCTTTATCAATGAAATAACAATATGTTTATCTAAAAGTTCATTAATAAGCTTGAACAGCTTCTACATTTACCATTTTTGGTGTTGTTGTTGTGAATCGAGCCTGGCTGCTGAATAAAGTGTGAATAAGTAACTGGACGTATTTGAACTCCTCACCTCTTTATAAAACATGAGACTAAACACATGAATGAGAAAGTCTTGTTTCAATGTGCCGTTGCTGTTTATTTGCATGAATTTCTTTTTACTGCTGTATATTTGCTGTATTTACCAGAGCCTGTAGCTGTAACCACCATGTACTATGCAGTGGCTTTATTTATCAGTGGCTATGTACTGTGCTATTTTTGTCCATTATCATCATATTGCATTTTGTTGTGTATGTGATTTTTTTTTATATGAATGAATTCTTGGATTATGACGCATTTGATTCTACTGCATGGGCTCCCTTTAGTGTCTCTGAGGGACAGCAGACCAAATTTAGCCTCCTGGCTCATCTACATTTTATTTGATACATGAGCTTTTCACTTGCCTGGTAGTTTAAATACTCAAAAACAAAGATATCATGATGCATGATCCTTCAGCCTATCTCAGAAGTTCTCCATATCCCAGATCGTCTATTATCACTTAGGCCTTTTTGGTCTATGATGGACAAAGATGGTCTTCCACAGGATGTGGCCCATGAGTTGGGACCCAGCTTGTTACTTGACATGCAATAGGTATCTGGGAAATAGTGCCAAGACCTGTGTATATTAGACAGCTCAATGATCAGTAGGTGAAAATGAGATGTTGGCGACAGAGAGCTACCTTCTATCCAGAGGATCAGGTCTACAGACTGTCATAAAACAGAACAGAGTCAAGTGCCATTGATTGGTTTCTCAGAACATCTCATCACATGCAATTGGTCTCCACAGGCAATGACTCTCTCTGGTATAATGTCCTTTCACACACCATCCCATAGAAGAGCTGGATGTGTTCTAGGCCTTAAAACCTGAGAGAAGAAAAGAGGTCTTATCTGTGGTCTCACTGTTCTGAAATGCTTTAGTATAAATGTGGATCATCACATGGAAGCCATGTTTCATGTATCTGATAAAGTCTTATAAAAGGGTGGTGTTTAGCTCAGTTGGTAGAGCAGCTGCCCTTTGTGTTGAGGCTACAGTCCTCACTGCATTTGGCCCTGGTTCAAATCCCGCATCGAGCGCCCCTCTGCGTGTCATTCCCCCTCTTCTGCCTCCCCATTTCCTGTCTCTCTGTTGTCTGTGCTTTCCATTAAAGGCAAAAAGCCCGAAAGAATATACTTTAAAAAAAAATCCTATAGAAGATATTCTAGTAATAATACAGTAATATGAAGTGTGCACTCTACACACACAGTGCAGAGTGCAGCTCTACCTGTTTGTCCCTGATGCTGCAGAGAACCTCTTCAACTCCAACAACTCAAAATCAAAGCAGTGGAAAAGGTGCTGCAACTGTAGCATTACATGAGCATTTTGAATTAGGTGTGTAAAAAAAAAAGTTTTGACAACAGCAGCAGGTATCTTCTTGGCAGCTGGAGAATAAAGCTGCTAATTAAGTGGAGGTGTCAGGGTTGCCACTGTTCCTTCTCTCTCTCAGCTAAAAAACTGCCAAACACTGTTCTGTCTCACAGCTTTCCTCTCCTCCACCTGGAGAAGCGTGACACAACAACCCTGAAACACACTTCAGCACAGGTGAGAGGAGCAGCATGTTGTGCAACTTCTTTTTTCTTGACACATCTGGTTTGATGTTAGAATGAGCAAACGTGATTTAAACAGGAGATTAATAAAAAAACATGTCTGACTTGTCTGAGGTGTCATTAGCCATGGGAGTAGGAACACTATAGCAGTGAGGCACAAATGCTTGAAATTTAACTTGCTTTTTGTGATTTCCTTGGAGTGAAGTGATATGGTTTGGTGTAAACCAACTAAAAGCTGTTTAACTTACTTTAAATAGCGTATCAAAATCACATCACTCCACACCATCAGAAGAACTGATTCAGTGCTGAGAAAAGCTCCGAATACTTTCGAAAACTTTCCAAGAATGACATTTTGTCCACCAGCTAAGAGCAAACCTCTTTTTTTAATCTTTCTTTTCATTTCTTCAAAAGTTGAAAACTTGTTTGAAAACTTTTCCCCTCGAGCCTTGAAATGTAGTATCAGTTTTATTCTGTTTTTTTCACACAGTAGCTCTTAAGATCTATTAGATATTATGCACTGGGATAAATTTAATTAAAATGATCTGAACTGTACATCTTGTATACACCATAGAGAAAAAAAAAAAAGTGTGGACATCTGAGTATGCATGCAACTGTGAGAAGCATCGGTGCGGCGCTCATCAGTGCTGTAAAACACAGCGGGACATTATGGAGGCTGATGTGGATGGTGGGGGGAGGATGAGTGTGATGGAGCTGGTGCAGATGAGGAGGCAGAGAGCTTTGGCACTGCAGACAACAGACGGAGCTTATGGAGGATAAACATCATTATTTATTAATAAGCTAATGTGATAACCAGAGAAAGCAGCATACTGTCGTAATTAACAGTATAGTCAAGGTCATTAAATTGCACTTAAGTGAAAGTATTACAAGTGCAGATGGCGTTGCATAATGAATAAGGACGTATAGACTGCATAAAGCAGATGACATTATGGATGTTTGTGGTTTGTGATGATGGAATTCTTAGGGCCACTAGAGCGATTTCTTCAGTTTATCAATTATGTATATTTAACCTAATTGAAATCTCTGTTGGATCTTACTCTATGTCCCGAGATGTTTGCAGCCGTGCATATGCAACTTAAAGTAGGTTGTGTCCTGCTGAAGCGACATAATATATTCCTCCTCCACCTGTGGGTGCTGGTAGTGAAGTCCAGGTATTTGAATGACTTTGCAGCACTCACATAGGTTCCCCTGGCAACACAAATGTGCAGAAGTTTAATATTGCAGCCTGTGGTTGCAGTGCCCAAAATGAAATGTGTGTGTGTCCTCTGAGGGACAGGGATGAGCTTCAGTCATTGAGATTCCTTTTGGACCAAGAAGTTGATAATTGTTGGGAATTAGAAATCAGAAGTCATCCCGTTGTGTTTGAGGGTAATTCTGGACCCAAGAGCAGACAGGGGGTGACGCAGGCATCAGCGCAGGTGGGGGAAAGGTGTGGGACCTGACTCTGTCTCTGAGAGCTTCTTGCTACCACTGTGCTTTGCGAACAACCTGACACAGAGCGGAGGAAAGGCTTAAGTATTAGTGCCGTGGTGGATGAGGTAATAGGATGCAGGTGTGCTACTCTCCACAGCCAGGTAGCGGAAGCCACGCCCCCCACAGCAGCTGCACACACACACACAAAAGGAAACAGGGAGCTCACAGAGAAACACTGCGAAATCCAGGGATGGAAATCTGATCAAAGATGAACACAGCAACCAGCTGACTCATCATCCTTGGGCAAGAAAACTACAACAACAACAACAAATATTAAACAGTAATCAAGCCTCATGAGCGAGAGAAGAAAACATCTTCAGACTGAAAATGATCTCACTCTCCACATCGTCCTTGCATCGTAACGCTATGACCCCTAAAGGCGAAACTCGTCTGACGCAACCACACACAACCAAACCCTGAGGGGCCGCCTGTAACCTCCTGTCCTAGCTTTATAATAACAAGCTTCATCAGCCAGTCAATCAGGTATCGCGCCAAATAACGTGTTTGATGAACCAGTAATTGCTCATGTAGAATGAAACGTAATTTAATATCACAGTGTGGCTTTATTTAGCATTTAATTAACATAGCTGCGAGCTGAACGCCACACCACCTGCCTCTGTGATGATGTGCCTTTAAAGACGGGGGCCCGGCTGATTTATGACTCAGATACTGTTGTCCGAACAAATCCTAAACCTTTTTTCCCCACCCCCCCCACCCCCCAACATCAAAGCTCTGTCTTATTAAATTCTGTTGGGATCTCTTATCTTATTGGTGTCAAATGAAGTTAGATGAAAAATAGATAGAAAATCATGATAGTTTCACCAAAGTAGTTTATAAAGACCAGGACAACTGAGGGAATGTTGGACACACACACACACACACACACACACACACATGAAAAAAGAAAGTTATCTATTAATATCCTGTCCAGGGGAGTTTTAATTTTTCATTTTGATCACAGGTACTTTTTTGAGAATAATCTTGTAATTTCCATTCTGTGTCACTTCTGATAGGTTATCCATTATTTAGTATCTTATTTTGACAGTTTTGGAGAAGATGGTGAGATCTCTTGAAAGAACAGGTATGAGACTGCTAAATGAACACCTCCTCCTCTTCTTTTTTTCTCTACTGATGTAATTGACTGTGAGATAAGCTTATTTTCTCATTGCAGATAGAGGATCTGGCTTTTTCCAAACCTTATGAGACGCCCCAGTAGATCACGAGGAGGGGGGAAAACGCATCATAAATCTACTTATATAACTTCCCCTTCAGATAAACAGCACTTGGGGATTTAGGTAAAGCGAAGGAGCTTTCTCATTCCTTACATTTGAAGGGCGGTTGTTGAAGCTACAGTACAGCCGGCGATAAGAGTGAAGATGGGAGACACTTTATCAGTATTTACAAAAGGGATGTACATACCGTGTTTGGAGATGTACATATAGATGCATTTCTAATTGGTCCGCTGAAGAAACCAGGGGTGTCTGCGTGTAGTGGGGAGCTGTTCAGCAGCAGTAACACTGAAATGATGGATACTGAGGCTGGCAGTGAAGATAAAAAAAAAGAAAGAAAAAAAGCACACAAAAGATGTAGGTGAGAAAGAGAGCTGGAGAGTCAGGGGAGGGAAAGCAATGATAGATGCTGTTTTGGGTGAGAAACTAAGATAAGGCAATGGATGCATATCAGTGGAAACACATTTAACAGTGAGAAATAACCAAACTGAGAGCACTGCTTTGGCTGTAGGAGTGTGGAAGCATCCGACTGACTCTTGCAAAACACTTTACAATCCCAAATTATTTAGTGTAACGCACATATTTGGACGGAAATCGTGACTCAGGAAAAGACAAGTGGGACAGGTATGGAGAAACATTATTACTAAAGGCAGTGACAAAAACAAAGGCAAGTCAACAGGAAACGCATCACTCCACAAATAATATCTAATTTGATAAATAAGACACTAGATGCATCATCCCTCCCCAGTACGTCAAATCCAGAGCATTGTGCAGCAGCTCGGGGCCTTTAAAATTAGAATTAGCATCTCAATCAGTCCAGTCAGTCATTTCTCAAACTTGCAGGTGCAGAAGCAGAGGTGCATTGCCTTGACTCCCTTCAAGTTAAAAAGTCTATTATATCTGCATAAGTTAGATAAATGATTTTAGATGATGTTAGGTTGTTTACAACAATATCCCGTTATTAAGGGAAAGGAAGAAAGGAAGGAGCAGGAGGCATCTGCAGGAGTCTACTTCAGGTTTAAACAACCTAAATTGAATAATCTGCCCCCCACACCTTCACCCCCCCCCCCCCCCCCCCCCCCCCCTCTTATTTAATCATGCGGTGAGTGACTAATAGTGTTTTAGGGAAGACAAATCCATACATAATGAAGTCCCTCCTGTCTCTTAGATCTATGCAAGCATCAGAGAGTGGAGCTGAGCCATTTTAAAGGATTCATGTACGGTGGCCCAGGGAGCTCAATGCAAACACATATGTAACATACATCCATCTTCACTTGTTCAGTACTTTTAATTTCAAAAGTCATAAAGCACTGAACAACAGTGTGTTTGCATGTGTCTTCCGAAGTTGCACTGGTTTGAACTCTCAGGCCACCACAGGGCATATAATTATATAACAGTATAGTATAACAGTAGAGGCATCTAACAGGAAATGAGACAGAGAGATGGGCAACTAAGGCCTCTGATCAGATTCCAGCTGTGGACACCATGTCTCAGCCATTAACCCGCAGCACTGCATCAACTGTGTGAGAATTAGATCCCACATATTTTACACTGAATATCAAACACAGTGATATTAGTACACCAGAGGTCAAGGGATCAATGCACGGGTGCCAGTTTGATATAAATCTGTTTTGTTTTGTAGCCACAGGACTGACTGATAAAACATTTCAATATGAAGAGAAAGCCTCTTTCTCAGGACATAAAAAGAGGAAGAGATCCAATCAGTAACAGTGTTTTAGTGCCTGAAATGCCAAAACAGGCCTTCACAGA